TCAAATTCACCAAAATTTTTTTTTTATTATGTAGGTTATGACCTGAAGCTGTCTGCATATAAATCCTAGACAATTTCATTTTGAACAGATAGAAATGGTTACATTATTTTGTAAGATGTATAGAAGTTTGGCATTCAACTTCCCTAAGAAGTAAAAACAAAACAGCTGAGGGGATAATTTAACATAATGCTAACTAGTTATATACTTGGTCAGCTACCTACATAAATTTTTTTAGTTGATAAATAAAAGGCCCTTTTAAGAAACTGGTAAATAACTTAACTGTTTGGTGGGGTGGAACCCAGATCATAATGAGAATTCCTGCAATTGCATTGGTTAATATTATCAACAGTATTTATCTTAGAATGTGCATTATTATCCAAATTTTTAAATTGGTTTAAAATTTTATATTTTTTTTATAATCTTATCAAGATTATTGGTGCAGCTACAACTTAGTTTTAGTGTGTTTCTGTTAAATATTTTACTAACAGGGTTTCTTTTATGGAAATGTTTATCAGTTAAATGGAGGAACTTCTGACCTAACTTAGTACTGACTAACTGGTTAAATGGGAGTTTGTACCAAAAGATTTTCCTATTCCTTTTCCTTTGATCATATTTTTTTATACTTGATTTGAGCATACTTGTAACCACTATTTTTAAAGCAGTATTATAAACACCGCTGTATTTATCAAACACATCTCTGTCACATGAGTTAATCATACATTCTATAGATGAGGGTATATGTTTGATTACAGATGGAGGGTGGTTAGAATTAGGTCTGTTCTGTTAACTTAATCTTGAACAAAGTTCTCATATGTAAAAAACCAGAGTATGTTGGGTTCCTTAAGGTGCTTGAATTTGTTCAGCAAGTGCTTCATATGGTTCTCTTGGATACTATTGGATATGAACTACCGTCTCCTCTTTATACAGGAATTATATCCAATGTCTTCATGCATATAATGTCTGATTGTTGACTCCAGCACATGGACCTGATTGGCAATGGCCCTCATTGATTTTCTGGGGTTCTTCTTGATGATACCCTGGACTTTCTAGATGAATTTGAAATTCCTGTCAATGTCTGACTGGTGAGAATGTTTTGCTTTTGGCCAATGAAGACACATTCTTACCAGTGGCATGGAGTTCTTTTCTTATCTTAAACATGAAAGATCTGGTGACATTTAAGACTGTGATCTCCAAATCTGTGTGGTTGGCTGCTAAAGCAACAAGAATGGCATGCCTTTTCATCTCCTGTATTCTTCCATAGTGGGGTGGCTTACAGTCATATCACTGGTTTTTGTATGGCCACCAAAGTTAAGCCATGTCGCATCTGGTCAGTACCTAGATGGGTGACTGCTTGGGAATACCAGGATCTGATTGCTTGGATGTGCAGGTGTTGTAATGAATAATGATGGCTCAGAATTCCAATACCAATCTGGTTTGTTATATTCACTCATCTATAAATACCCTTGGGAAAGGAATGAATCCACCTTTTCTCCTCCCCCTGCTATGGGTTAATTAGTAGGACTTGTATCAGTAAATTATTATTCCCCCACCTCCCAAAAAAATCTTACAATCTAAAAATATTTTCCAGCTTTAAATCTGCTAATGGTTGATAAGGCATGAAAAACAATTGACAATGTTTTGTTTGTTTCTTTGTGTGCGTGCGCATGTGTTTAATGGCATTTCTCAAGGTCAGAAATGGTGGGTCTGATTTTTAGTTGGTTACTTACGACTTTCTAAAGACATGTTCTTGAATACCTGATGCACCCTCTGTGTATGTGTGTGTGTGTGTGTGCGCGCGCGCACGCACACACACATTCAAATGTCATATGCATACATTTGAGCCCATACAACTACAAACTAGTCAATAAAGCTTGTTCTTAACAAAGTCTATTGTCTCCTTAGAACCAACATTTGACCAAAGCACTTGTTCAGCCTTTTCACTTCTTTTATAACAATATTAAAAACACATCTTTACCTACCCCACTTCCCAGTCTGTCAGCTGTCCACTACTGATGATGATGATGATTATCATCAGCAGCAGCAACAAGCCATCTTTTGCTGTGTTTTCTATTCCTAACTGACCACTGGTTTGAAAGCTTTTTGTTCATTGATTGCATCAAGAATTACTGTTCAAATAAATGTTCTCTTTATCAAAAAATAAACTGGGGAGGGCCAACAAAAGAATGAACTAAACATCTTTCTCTCTCTGATCTTTCCTCCAAAATAAAAAACAATTCTTTTGTAACTTACAAGTGCTTTATTCAACATCTAATGTCAGACTCGTGTCTATATAAGACATATTTAGGCAGCAAGAATTCATAAAACAAGTTTTGTTAAATTCAATTGACAAAATCTGTTTAATTTCTTGTTATATTTTGCCAATTAAGATGTATATTTTTTTATTTATTTTTATATTATATATATATATATATATATATATATATATATATATATATATATATAGTTTTAAATTATGCTATATTTACATGTTAAAGTGCTCAGTATCAGAAAAAGAATGTATGGCCTGAAGTTTGTGTTTCACTTGAAACTGACTGTCATCTCTGGGTGTTGACATCAATGTCCACTTGTGTGTGTGTGTATATATATATATATATATATATATATATATATATATATATATATATATATATATATATAGTCAAACAAGCATTCTCTCAATCAGGTTTTGTTAAATAATATGAACATGTTCTGGCTATCAATTTTTTTATTAAATCTTTCAAATAAGTTGTTTTGTGTTATCAGTAAATTTGCCAAAGTTCATATTTATTTTTATGTTACATAATTTTTTCCCTTGCATATTTTTAAATGTTGCTCCATTCATTTTCAAGGATTGTTCTCTTTATATTTATGCAACTGTTTTCTAATTCTGTCATTCTCACGTTTGACGGAGCCAATTTCAAGTCACGCAAGTTGAGATCATATAAACAGTTAAACGGAAATTTTGTGTAGATATATATCAGTCTGGTAACAGTCATTGGAGAGATTTTATAATATAACAGTTGACACTTGATTAAAAGATGCAATATTGTTACATGTTACAGAAGTCAAATATGTATGGGTATATTATCTAACATTTTTCAGCTATAATATTCAACGTCTGCATCTTGCAACTGAAATTTTTATGTCTGCTATTTTTTGTTTTGTTTTTTAAACATACTTCAATATATGGTCCTCTATGGAGAAAGACACCTTATTTAATATTGGCTGTTTCATTTTTATTACGACAAACTCCTGAATTTTGAGTCTTCCCTTGCAGAAGAGAAGCAGCCAACATTAAATAAAGTGTCTTTCTCCATAAGGGATCATACACTGAAGTGTTTTTAAACATATACACACACACACACACACACAAAAATTTTATGTGTGTTATTTTTTTTGTTTTGTTTTTTAAACACACTTCAATATATGGTCCCTTATGGAGAAAGACATCTTATTTAATGTTGGCTGCTTCTTTTCTGCAAGAAAAAACTCCAAATTCTGGAGGCTGTTATAATAAAAGAGAAGCAGCCAACATTAAATAAAGTGTCTTTCTCCATAAGGGACCATATATTGAAGTGTGTTTAAAGAGACACACCCAAGAATTTTCAGTTTGACCGTTTACTTGACTGAATTTAAATTGATTCTACCAAACATTTGACAGCGTTATACATGAGAATGCTGGAATTAAAAACCAGTATTAAATAAGTTGTCTTTCTTCAAAAGGAAACAAGGTGTCTTTCTTCATATTTAAACACACTTCATATTGAAGTGTGATTAAAAAAAAAAAATAATAACGCACGTAAAAACTTTTATGTATATCTGTTTTTAAACACACATCAATATATGGAGAAAGACAGTTATTTAATGTTGGCTGTTTCTCTTCTGCAAGGAAAGATACCAAATTCTGGAGGATGTAATAAAAGAGAAGCTGCCAATATGAAATAAGTTACCATTCTTCATAAGGGACCATATATTGAAGTATGTTTAATATAAAAAAAAAACAAAATAAAAACACTCACACAAAAATATCAGTTTGACTATTTATAAAATGTCACTTTGAATGACTTAAAATTGGTTCTATTAAACATGAGGACACATGAATTAAAAAAAAACATTTGCGTAAATATACACAAAACCATCCTTGAAAATGAATGTAACAACATTCAAATGTACTTGAGGAAAAAAATAATATAATTTAAATCTTTTAGTGGGTACTTGTATTTGAGTAGATACTCTGTTTATTTCTTAGACAAAAATAAATAAATATACTGTTTATCAGGCTGAATATTTGAGAAATCTTTTTTAGAGAAAAAATTTGCACACTCCACCAGAATTTGAACCTGCGTTCCCCTAGAGAAAACTGTCATTACATCTGACATGCTTTGACCTCTCAGCTACAGGATGCATCAATAACTAAGCAAATCTGAATAGTGCCTTTAAACTCAGCTTTTTCTCTAACTCTTAAAATAGACATATCTGCTCAGTTTCATATCCTAACATAAACAAAGAAATTTGTAAAGAAAAGGATGGATTTTTTTATTTATTAATATGACAGATTTTTATTACTTAAATGTTATTTTTAGTGGTTACTTGTGTTTGAGCTTTGCGTGATCATCAACACATTCTTTAGCCAAGAGGTCAAGCACATTAGATCTGACAGTTTCACCTAGGGGAACACAGGTTCAAATCCTGCCAGAGAGTGTATATTTTTCTCTAATAAGACCTCTTAAATATTCAGACTAGTAGACAAAAATAAATATATTGTTTAATAAATAAAAAGAGTATTTTACAATTAATGGGGTTTAATTCCTTTGTTTTATATCAGGTACAATGATCATCTAAGGTACAATGAATTAGATAGGATTTTCCTATTATATAACATTGGTATATTAAGACTGTGTGTTTTAAATTCGTTATAAAAATCATGCAGCAATTTCAAGATTTCTATTCACATTTGTCTTTGTACAGGGCCCAAACCATCTAGAACTCGACGTTTCAGCATGGAGAATATGGAACTGATGAAGCTAACCCCTCAAAGTAAAGTTAGCATTAAGGTAAGAATCGGTTTACCATAATCCATTGATGTGTATCAAAAAAATCTGTTATTATTGGTTTCTTACAAACAAAAGGTCTGGTATTAATTATTGGTTTACTACAAACAAAACACTGTAATATGGGTTTATACCAATAACTCCCCAAAATGGAGCAGTGACATTAATTCCTTAATAGTAAAAATCCAAGTCATACATATCGGTGGTAGTAAGAATTCAAGTTTGCTGTAGTAAGAATCTGTGTGGGTGGCAGTAAGAATCGAAAGTCTGTGTGCAGTAGTAAAAATCTGATTCTGTGGTAGTAAGAATCTAAGTCTACATGTGCATCTGTCTATATTTCTGAAATGAGGTATTATGTACACTATTTACATTATTCGGACTATTGTCCTCATCTTTGTTGCCATATTTATTACAATGTTTCGGCCACTCTGGCCTTCTTCCAAAGCATACAATGGCTGAAACATTGTAAATAAATATGGCAACGAAGATGAGGACAATAGTCTGAATAATGTAAATAGTCTGCATGTGCAGTAATAAGAATCTGTGTTGGGTAATGAATTTCCAAGTCTGTGTGTGTGTGGTAGTAAGAATCAGTCTACATGTGCAGCAGTAAGGATCTGAGTCTGCTTTAGTAAAAATCCAAGTATGTGATGGCAAGAGTTGGAATCAGTTTGCCATAAAAGTAAATGGTTTAATGGATTTAATTTTGTGTTTGTTTCATTTAATCTTTCCAAGTAGGTATGTCTCTTCTGCATAGTCACATAAATCTGTTTTATAAGTTTGGACCGAAAAGTTCATTTTATTTTGATGAGATGAAGTACTTAGTTTCAACTAAACTCATTCAAAAAATTGCTTTTTTTATTTCATGGTGACAACTGCTATATAACTGTTTTTTTTGTTTTGTTTTTGTTTTTAGTTCAGCATATTGAAGATGAAATAAAATGAGTAACATTTTTATTTTTGATTATTTTAAGAATGGTAATAATGCAAATATAAAATTCTTAAATTTTAAAAAGGGTTGTGCAAAATCTTATGCAGGATATTTCTTGTTGAAGGATTCCCTACAATTGAGGTTGATAGTAATTAAATAAAGGTATTTCTTAGGAATAATGAATTTGTGTGTGTGTGTGTGTGTGTGTTGTGTGTGTGTGTGTGTGTGTGTGTGTGTGTGTATATATATATATATATATATATATATATATATATATATATATATATTTGGTTGAATATCTATAAACCAAATATATTAACTCTATCTCTGATATTGAGCGCTTTCTAATAAGTACCGTGCATATAATATATAAATAATTATACATACTTATATTTATTTATATTTATATACACTTTTCACACACACACACATATATATATATATATATATATATATATATATATACTAGACCATCCATAAACCCATTGGGTTTCTTTAAAAAACAGTTCATGATACAGAATGATGAGGTAACAATATTATCAATTTTATTATTAACTAGCTTAAGAGCTGATCTATTGGGCGACATTTAAGCTAGCTCCTCGAAGGGCTCTTGGTTGGGTCTTCGGCTTGTTCAGGAGTTTAAGAGACCCTAAGTCTTTGCATATTCTCAGCATTGGAGGCTCTCCTAGCTGCTGTTTGATCTGGGTTTTCATTTTCATGGGATTTTCTTGTCCTCACTGCAGCCATAGCTCGTTTGATTGCAATCTGGTCCTCTGTCAGCAGAGATTTCTTTTTGTGAAGCATACTGCTGCTGTATGCATTAGGCAACAATAAACTACAGAAGAACTCAAAATTGATCGCTACATTTAAGTATTGCTTTAATATTTAAGCTTTTAAAATTTCAATGATAATCCTTCTGCTACTACTTAATTTAAGGACAATTCAATGTACGTAGGTCCTTACTTTCCGTACAAATATTTATTTTTATTTCATGGATGACTTTCACTGGATTACACAATTTCTTTTCACAGTTCATTCCTATTATTTCCAAAATCATTTCCAAGTTATAAAAACTGTTATTGTGCAAAAAATTTGTGGCAAAAATTCACGTAAAAAAAATCGCCAAAAACTACCACAGTAATGAAAACTTGGAAATTCAAAATTTCTGTAACATGAGCTATTGAAAGTTAGAGAGTTGTGTCCCTTTAATTGAGAAAATGTGAAACAGTGAACCCAAAATGCCTTAATGCAAATCTATCCTGATTTAAAGTATGAAAATTAATTATTTTACAATATTAATAGATATATGTTTTACTTCTTTAGATTTATAAGAGAAATTTCTTTCATAAAATATACTTTGACTACAATATTAAAGCAGGTGTAATTTTGTTTCAAAATAAGTATATTTTTTTATTATACATCTTCCTTGTATTTAATTCAAAATATGTAACTGCAGCAAATCAGCGTGCATCTATTTATTTACCATCAAGTCATGTGCCACATAGAGCCTCTTCACCTCTCAACTAGTTGTTTATAAAAAAAAAGTTCTAATATAGTGCAGGGAATTGTATAAATATATGTTGTCTTATGCATATTTAAATTTATTTAATAATGTTGTTATAATGTATTATGAATATGTTTATTATTTTCCCCACACATAATAATTGGAATATAATATGTAAGTATTTGTTTATATATGCGGATTGATATAAGAATGTGTATCAAAAACAAGTTTTGAATCTCCTATTACAAATGCCGTAAAAACAAAAACAGCCCTAGCTAAAGAACCCCTTGATTCTTGCTACTGCACTTGGCAGTGGTTCAATATGCTCCTAAATGGGTTGGTGTATTATGTATCATTTAACCTGTATCTCAGGAACCCTCACACATACATACATACATCGCATTCAAAAAAACTGTTCAACACGCGTCAAGTTGGATTTGGTTAAGATCAAAACAAGCAAATAAAATGCGCGCAACATCACGACCTAACATGCGCAAGTGAGATATTTACGTGGTCATTTATAACTATTTTTAGGAGCGTGTCAATAACGGCAAACGTGTTCAGGAAACATTCATTGCAGATAGATTTTACTTAAAGGAGCGATTAATTAGCTTATCTTCATACCCTGCCTAGTGGCAAATGCTGCTGGTTGCGCCAGAGGTGGCAGTCCCGCCATAGCTACTGAAACTGTGATATCACCCTTGGTCGGTGGCTGATGAAGACAGGGTATCGCACATGCTAACACACGTTGTATGTTAAAATATATATATATATATATATATATATATATATATATACTACAAAAATCCAAATGGAAAGCCTGCTAGGTGACCAAAGAAAACTCAGATAGTAAATTTTTTTTTTGTTTTCTAACAACAAAAATCAAGAAACCCTAAACATGAACAGGAAAATAAACTAAGAAAAAAGATCAAAAGGCAGAAAATTTGAAATTGGTTCTAGCAAACATGAGAGCACTAGAATTAACCAAAAATAGCTACAGAAACATAAACAAAACACGATCCTTGAAAACAAATGTAGCAACATTAGAAATTATTTAGTGGAGTGGGGGAAATAAAAACAATAAATATGAACTTTGGTAAATTTACCAATTATATACAACAACTAATTGGGAAATTTGAACAAGTTAATAAAAACTTGGATAGACAGAATTTGTCAATATTATTCAACCAAATATTGAATTATATATGAGAGAGAGAGAGTGAGTATATATGTGGTGCTGGTATTGATAAAACAGTGATCGATATAATAAAACAGAGCTATTAAGTATATATTAATAAATATACATATTATCCCTCACCATGTTTCATGCACAACACAATCTTCAGGTGCTGCGTATAGACTGTTATGCAATTTAAATTTTAATAAAAATATTTGCTTACCAAAATATTGGTGCAGTTATATATTATATGGGAATTACATTATTTTATTTAAAAAATATATTTGGCATTTAAAATAAGTAGGATTTTTATTATATATATATATATATATATATATATAAATTTACTTTAGAGTTGTGAATATTAATTTTTTATATTAAGCATAAAGGGTGATTTACATTAGAAACTAATTTGAATCAACATATTTCAGCAGCTATTTATTTTTATGCCTATATGTAAGAATCAATTCATTTCTCTCATTTAATAAGTGATTTAAGATAACTAATTTTTCAACCAGACATGGATTACATCTATCACCTTTTTCCATTGTAAAAATTGGCTTTAGCTACAATATCCCCCATAATAATGGTTGTATTACCACCATTGTTTAATTGCCAGAAATAATTTGAGAGAACAGTACTGTTTAAGTATTTTATATTGTCTAAACATTTTGTAGGATGGACAATTATCCCATACTCTTACACAATTTGGAAAATTTGCTGAAACACCTTGATAATATTGTGTGTGTGTGTATATATATATATATATATATATATATATATATATATATATATATATATATATATATATATATACACACACACACACAGTGTGGTGGATCAATTGGAGAAATGAGAATAACACTAACATCTCATTTTAACAGATATATTTACCAAAATTACAGAAAAATATCTTGTATTACTAAAGAGTAAATTTATTCAATAAAATTGCCATTGGCTTCGACCATGGCCTCCAGTCGACTTTGGAATGTCCTGCAATTCTTCTGGATCGCTTCCTTGTTTAAGTTGGTGAATGCTGCCATAATATTTGCTTTCAGTTCATCTTTGGTGTTACAAGGAATTTTGTTGGTCTCAACTGTGCCCTGCACATAATCAAGAGGGTTGCAGTCTGGAGAGTTAGGTGGTCAGATATAAGGAGTGATGTGGTCTCAGAAATTGTCTGACAGCCATGATTGGGTTCTCCTGCTCATGTGGCAGGGTGTAGAGTTTTGTTGCTAGACATAGGGTCTTACAGTAGCCACCCAACAAATTCAGGAGTTCTTTTCTTATCAGAACGATCAGAGTGAGTTTTCTGAGCTGCCGTACCTTTGTAATCACCATTAGACTCCCTCCAACTGACAATGCCCAACTGAGCCTACTATACTGTGCAGTTGACGAAAAACAATACACATGCACGAAATTAAAAATATAAAATGGCAACAATTTATCTATTGCACCCTCTGTGCCTGTGTGTGTATGTATATATATATATATATATATATATATATATATATATATATATATATATATATATGATTATGCAGTGTTACATTAGAACATGCACATACCCACTACAAAACTGTACATCTTGTTTCAACAAAAAAAAAAAAAACTTAACGTTTCATCAGGTGGGGAATCATGATGCGACTGAGATTCCCCACCTGATGAAACATTAAAAATTTTTTTTTTTTTTTTAATGTTGAAACAAGATTTACAGTTTTGTAGTGGGTATGTGCATGTTCTAATGTAACACTGCATAATAAATAAATATTTATGGCTCTGCTTTTGTATTGAGCCCTATTTTAAATTAATGTTTTGAACGCTGAAAATCTTACTCTTCGTTCTTTTACATTTGTGTGTGTGTGTGTGTGTGTGTATATATATATATATATATATTTTTTTTTTAAGCATTTCACCCCCAAGCAAGGCAGGAAGCCACTAGCATGCAATGGGTTACAGAGTATTTGGAGTGATAGAGGGAAGGATGAACGAGAAGGATAGTGGATAGATCAAGGCAACTGGAGATGTCGATTGATATTACATTTGAATAGTTGGAGATTATAGCTATCAGGGAAACAGGAAAAGGGGAGGGAGTTCCACAGGCGAGATGTGCGAGATATGAAGTGATTGGAGTAGAAGAGACAGCTACATTTAACAGTTATATTCTACTCACACTTTTAAACTTCTGTATATAAAAAAAATTGTTAATTGTTTGCAAAACCTTGTTATTCTTTCTTCCCTTTTCAATAAATTTGTGGAAGTTAAACAAAGCCATCTTAAATTAAGTCCACATTTTTTTTATCTTTCTATGAACTGATACTTCTTTCATCTGAATTGGGCATTGTCATAAAAGAATGGTTTCAGTTTTGATAATGAATTATTTGATATTTCGAATTTGTCTTCCAGCCACATTGTATTGCCTTTGATTTCTTTATTGTATGTAAATTTTTGTTTTTAGTCAAGTCTTTTGTTATTCTATGTTCTTTTAAATTATTTCCTTGTATTTAGACTTCACCAGTGGAAAATAATGACGGTGACCACCCACCACCTCCTACTGGTGCCAAACCAAAAACTGCCAAATTTCAAAGGGCAGCAACAGTTGCCACAGAATCACTCCATGATGGAAATCACCTCTTGGAACCCAGACCTGTTGCACGGCCCAAATCAGCAGAACTGATTAATGCAATGACACAAGAAAAGGTAAATCAGAATTCCAACTTTTGATTATTCCTCTTGGAGACATCTTCAGAATTTCAAAATTAACACTTTATTCAGTCAATAGAATTCTCTTCTTTATGTGTCATGTCCAATCAAGATGTAGACAATCATGACTCTCCACAATTTCCTGTCTTTCATAGCTATTAATAAATATTGTCTTTATTTCTCCTCAACCTTGTTCCACCATCCATTTACTCAATCTTGCCAAGTAGGTTATGTATTGTTTTCCTTTGTCTTGCCTTCAGTCTGCCCTATGAGTATCAAATTTTCCAAGCCCTCTCTCCTCATTATGTGCCTTACAAATTGCAACTGTCTCTTCCTGATGTTAATTATAAGTGTTCTTTTTAATCTAAAAGTTAGTCATCATCCTTTGTAGCTCTTAATAAATTTTGTCTCTCGCTTAAACCCTGTCCCACCATTCATTTACTCAAGCTCATTTGGTAGCCTATGCATTGTTTTCTTCTTTCCTTCAATCTGTCCTGTGAGTATCAAATTTTCCAAGCCCTCTTTCTTCATTATGTGCCCTAGAAATTGCAACTGTCTCTTCCTAATGTTACATATAAGTGTCCTTTTTAATCCCATTTTCTTTAAAAGTTTGTTGTTGCTCACATGTTTGGTCTATGGTATCCTCAGCATCTTTCTGTAGAGCCACATTTTTGTTGCTTCAAGTCTCTTCTACACTCTTGATGAGATTGTCCAACATTCACTGCCATATAGGAGAACAGATATCACATAACAATTCAGTACTCTTTTCTTTGTTTTTAATAAAATTTTTCTGTTTCTTAATACTTAGCTTGTGAAATGCATTTTTGGATATCCCAATGTGCCTACCTTTAATATGAACAGTGGAACAGTCTACTTTATGAATTCAATAAAGGGTTTTGTTCAAAATCCCAAGAATGTTTCAGAATATGACAGGCATTTGTTGATGTCTGGTGGATACAACAGCTGAAACATTGTGACTATGAAAACCAAGATGAAGCAAGAAGTTCAAAAAGACAGTTTATACTAAAGTATTTTATTCAATCATTTCATCCACACATGATTTACTTTTAATAATAGATTAATATAAGATTATAATAAAATCCTTGACAATGCATTATTGTATAGTCATTGACAATGCATTCTAATCTTATAGCCCTTGGCAGTTCATTCTGATCTTATATTGTAGGGATACAAGAAATGCATAATTCATAAGGCAGTGGTACATAATTGAATTGTTATTCCAGGACTTCTATTGGTGGTTTAACAAAACAGATAACCTGGCACAATTATGGAACTGAGGGTGCTATAATACTTGTTTTTGTAGAGACTTTGTAATCACAGATACAACTATAGTAATGCTGTTGAACAATACTGGTGTCAGATACCTTCGAATAACACTCCCATTATAGTACTTGCTCAAAAATACTCACTCAAAAAGTAACCATCAAATAGTGATCCATATAGTAATCACTTAGATGCCATGCTAATTCCTACATATACATTTCCTTTACCATCACATGATCTACTTATTCAAAATGGGATTGCCTGTATTTGCTCTCTGGTGATCTGTGTTCAAACTCCAGTGTCAGCAGTAACACTTTATTCCTATATAGCAGGTTTAATTTATGTTCTTTTTCCTTTTCGTATTTTTATCGTTTTTACTGACTTCAAAATTCTATGCAGATCAGAGAGGAAATCTTTTTTTTTTTTTTCTTCTTTTTTTTTTTTTCTCCAAAATCTTACAAAGAAGGAATTACTTTTTTTATTTTCCAGGTCTCTGAAGGCGGGCCAGATGATGATGGATTTTTTGACTTGCTATCACGGACTCAAGGGCGACGAATCGATGACCAACGCTGCTCGTTCCGAATCACCAAGAGCAAAAGTGCTTCGACCGAGTCGGACACTCCTTGTCGTGTACCTACGATGCCAGAGGTGTCTGTCCGCAAGGGTTGTAAGTCTAAAATCTTTTATATACACATATATTTATTTTATAATTAATGGGTGCATGGTTAAATGGTTAGAACATCACTATTCAAATTATGAGATTTGGGTTCTAATCTCACCATGGCTGATTTGTTAAGTTGGTGGCTTCCTGATAATATTGACCTGGGGAGATGTTCCCAACAAGCAGTACCATTTGGAAGTTCCTGAAGACCTTACCATGGGTTAAATCAAGCTTCTAGTATGAAGTTACATGTCATCATGACCGAGGCTGTGAGCATACTGGCTTTGTTCAACTACTGATCATGCCAGATTATGCACTCTCTCCCAGACTAAGGTCTTCTCGGTATAATTACAATATAAACTACAGGTTGCTTTTGTGAGTGTTAAAGAAACAGATGTGCTTGAGCAAGCATCTGTGCCAGTGATTAGCTAGTTACACTTGCAGATGGGTATAGTTAAAAATCTGCAGTCAACTATTATTTTTAAAGACAAAAACTAAATACAGTAAATTGGCTGTACTGTTAAAATTTGATGAAAAATTTAAAGAAAATTTTTAATTTAATGGGATAATTTAATGGGATAATTTTCTTTCTGAATTTCTGTGATTGATGAATTATTGTTATTTACATTTCATCTATTGTCCTCATTTTTGTTGTCATTATCATGTTTTGGCTGTTGTGATATAGTAATCATGAGTTCAATCCCCGTGCCAGATAGTGAGTACATGGATTCAATGAAAAATGGCAAGCAATAACTGAGCAGTTCTAAATGTAAAAGTAGATGAGATATCCCCAGTCATGGTTAGCAGAACAAGAAGAATCTATCCCTATAAATTAAATAAAGTGTTAAAAATTCTCTAATGGTTACCCAGATTGACAAGTGCCTGATGAAGGCTGGACTATTGTTGATATTCACTTGAGCATTGACAAAGGAAGAGATTATGTTGAAAATGTTTGTATAAAATGAATGATTTTTCATCCTTATGCTACAGATTTATTGATTATTTACACTATTTACATTCAGATGTTGTCCGCATCTTTGTTGTTGTTATTGCAATGTTTCGGCTGTTGTGCCTGCCAAACTTCACCAATCTGAGTAACCTACAGAGAAATCTGAACTGAACCCTTTATTTATTTACACCATTTGCATTCGGACTATCGTCCTCATCTTTGTTGTGGTTATGACAATGTTTCAGCCGTTGGGCTCTCCGAACTTCATCAGGTGTATATCAATCTGAGTAACCTACAGAGAATTCTGTACTAAGGACAATAGTCTGAATGTAAATAATAACTCCTGATCCCAGAAATTCAGACAGAGATTTATTGATCTTTATCTATAGATTTGGATATGAGGGTGGATCAGAAAAACTCTTGATTAACACTTTCGATCTGAAATTTATATTGTATAATGTACTCTCTGTATAATTAATATTCACTGCTTAAGTGCATTAAAAAGAAAGGATATTATGTTGAAATATAAATATTTGTTCTATAAAATAACATTTTTTTTTTAATTCTTAGGTTTTGGTCATAATTTTTTTTTTTTTTTTTTTTTTTTTTTCTAAATTTTATCTATGCTTATTTTATTTCTTTTTTTAATTTAATTTTTTTCTTTTAAATCATTCTAACAATCTCATTTTTCTCATTTACCCTGAAGATGATGTAAAAACTACATCGAAATATCTATTTCA